CGTGGACCTTGGATGATAGCTGCTCCAGATCTCCCATGACGGTTGGCTCTGATACCAAGTTATGGGCCCGGGAATAGGATCGCGTCACGGGTCGGTCCACGAGGAAAAGCTCCTATTTTCCCTTGTTCCTCCCCTTCCTAGCTGAACCTATCTTGGCGTCCTAGAGGGCGATTTGTCCAAGAGATCACCGAACTCTCCTTTTACTCTCTTTCTTGACTGAAATTTTGATATCTCATTCAATAATGGTGTCTCCTTAAATAGGAGATTACAAGAGTCCTAGTCCTAGAGAGTCTCTTTGCTGAATAGGGAGACTTCCAACTCTATCTTGATAAGATAAGATAAGTTAATCCTAATCTGATAAGATAAGATAAGTTAATTCTAATCTGATAAGATAAGATAAATTAATCCTAATCTGATAAGATAAGATAATCTAATCAACTAATAAGATAAGATAAGAACAAGCAAGATGATCGAATCTAATCTAGATAAGGTTGCTGTTGCCGAACTAGGTAGGACTAGAATCATTGAATCACTACTGTTGCTGGCGGTGGGTCAGGTGCCTGTTGCTGCCGGTGGCGACAGTACGTCTTCCCGAGGAATGCGTCCATAACATAAATGCCCTACATAAAAATGGTACATGGGAATTAGTGGATCTTCCTGAAGGTAAGGAACCGGTAGGGTGCAAGTGGGTGTTCACAATAAAGCACAAGGCTAATGGCACAATAGAAAGGTACAAGGCTAGGTTGGTGGCAAAAGGGTTTACCTAGGTATATGGTGTAGATTATGCAAAGACTTTTGCCCCAGTAGCCAAGATGAACTCCATTAGAGTCCTTTTCACCCTTACGGCAAATCTTGATTGGGATCTTCTTCAGCTAGACATTAAAAACGCCTTACTGAATGGAGACCTTGAGGAAGAGGTGTACATGGTCCAACCTCCTAGCTTTAGTGCCTAAGGAAAAGAGTAGAAAGTGTGCAAACTAAAGAAGTCTTTGTATGGTCTGAAGCAATCTCCGAGAGCCTGGTTCAACAAGTTTCATTTGGCTATACAGCAGGTTGGTTACAAACAATGTCAGACTGACCATACTCTATTTGTGAAAAGAGGGGAAGGAAAGATTGCAGCCTTGATAGTGTATGTTGATGACATAGTGATCACAGGTGACTGGAAGGTTGAAATTCAGAGACTAAAAGATTTCTTAGCCACTAAATTTGAGGTGAAGGATCTAGGTCCCCTTTGATATTTCCTTGGAATTGAAGTGGCACGTTCTCAAAAGGGGATCTTCATTTCTCAGAGGAAATACATCATAGATCTGTTACAGGATACAGAAAAACTAGGGGTTAAGCCAACCGACTCTCCCAATGATCCAAATCACAGACTGGGTGACTGTTGTGGTGAAGTTGTCAAAGATGTAAAACAATTCCAGAGACTTGTGGGAAGGCTCCTGTATTTATCCATGACCAGGCCAGGCATAGATTATGCAGTTGGTGTTCTTAGTTAGTTCATGCACGCTCCTAAGACCACACACACTTAGAGGCAGCAGAAAGAATACTCAGATACCTAAAGAGGTTTTCTGGAGCTGGTTTGTTATACCAAAAGAATGGTCATTTGAAGATTGAAGTCTATACAAATGTTGGTTGGGCTGGATTAATTGATGACAGAAAGTCTACTAGTGGGTATTGTTCCTTTGTGGGAGGAAACCTAGTCACAAAGAGAAGCAAGAAACAAAATGTGGTGGCTAGGTCCAGTGCTGAAGCTGAATATAGAGCAATGTCCCATGGGGTGGCTGAAGGCATGTGGATAAAGAATCTATTGAATGAACTAGGTTTTCCTGTTGATGACCCTATGTCCTTGTATTGTGATAACAAGGTTGTCATCAATATTGCAACCAACCCAGTTCTTCATGATAGAACTAAGCATATAGAGGTTGACAAGTTGGGCATGATTGACATCCACATCCCAACTTGAGGGGGAGTGTTGAAATAACTTAGTTTATTTTAAGTTTAGTGCCGCAAGGGCACCTTTGTATTTTTATCCTTTCTTTTTTCTGTATGGTCGCCCTAGTATAAATACCAATTAAACTGGCGCCGCCAGTTGACTTTTGTCTCTCCCGATTCTGTCTCGCTCTCTCCTCTCTTTTCTCTCTTCTCTTCTCTCTGTTCTGGAATCATACCATCTCAGCACCAAGAAAACAGGGTGGATCAGCCTAAAAGAATGGCTACACCAAAAAAAAGCAAATCATAATTATGTATTATCTTCCGACCTTTATTAGGGCAGTGTTTGGCATTGGATTAAATAAGTCCTCGTGGACTTAATTCTTTAAAATAAGCTGAAAAAATATTTTTCTAACTTGAAGCTAGAAAGAGCTTATTCAGACCTTTATTTTAAGACCCACATACAACATTGTTTCACACTTTCACTATAATGAAAACTTGAAAACACCATTACTACTGCTTTAACACTGTTATGATTGTTTCTATGTAACAATTATCTCCCCTAGAATGGCTTCAACTTCTTAAACTAGCCCTCCCACACTTCATTGAAATATTAAAATGACAGTAACATTCTAATTTCTTTAGAAAAAGGAAACAGCTTATCTTTTTTACCAATACTTGTCCATAACCTAAAGCTCCCCTTATCTCAGGAGTTATAGGCTTGGGTTAAGCAATGGAAAAACCACCAAAAAATTGTAGCAGAACTTTTCTCCACTGTGTATAAAGATACAAATTTTCAATCGTGTTTTTAAGATGATTCTTTGTCAAAATAGACTCCACTTTAAACTCCACTTTAATGGTGGCCCAAATCCTCTGAATATGATGCCCAGACTATTTTATGATTCATGTAAGCCTAGGGATCCTTGTCATATTTGCTTTTCAAGCGTCAAAAGTCAGAATGTCTGTCCCAGGATATTATTACAAGGCATCCATTTCTTTGGTGCTACAAGTTTGAGAAGCATTTTTGTTATCTTCTATATTCCAGATTTCCAGAAATATTCCAATTCCCAGTGGAAGGAACCAACCTTTTAGTCCATGATACATAGCAGGATATATTTCACCCAAGCCATTAGGAATATAAAATTATCAATTATGATTACTTACCTGTCATCACATATTCTGGAGCAGCATAACCATATGTACCAACAACCCTTGTAGAAACATGTGTCTTGTCCCCCTGGGGACCAGCTTTTGCAAGGCCAAAATCTGAAAGCTTTGCATTGTACTCCTATAGAAAGAATTCCAAATCAGACATGATTGAGAATGTTTGAGAGCAGGTGCCCTAAAGATGTTAACCACTACATTGGAATTTGAAGGATTCTAACTATATACATGTTGGGGTAATTAGATAGATCCCAGTCTGATGGTTGACAGATCAATAGCATGCTCTCATTCTTTTTATATCATTTTCTTCCAAACTATAAACAAGAAAGAAAAATCAACATAACTAAACCTGCGTATTAGAGATCACATACCGAATCAAGCAAAATGTTGGATGTCTTGAAATCCCTATAAATTACAGGCTTAGGTCCTCCATGGAGAAAAGCCAACCCTTTAGCTGCACCAAGGGCAATTTTAATTCTGCTAGACCATGGAAGAGGTAGGGTCCCTTCAAGAATTGCAATGATGTCAGCATGCTATTTCTAGAAAATTAGAACGCATACAGTTGGAGGAACAAAATATTGCATCCCAAGAAGCACAGGAAATGTCATGGACTAGAAGAGACCAAGCATTCAACAACACTGGACCATAAAATTCTGTAAATTCCGAATGGGGGGCTTTTAAGCATATGTGACAAAAGCACCACCCACATCTGCAACAATCAGGAATCAGGACCACCATTTATTTCCTAACAAATTTGTCAAAAAATAAATTCAAATTGATAACCATGTTCTGTTAAAAAATTAAGTTTGTATTTCATTTATCATCTATTAAGATTCAACAATATTAATTCAAACTTTTCACTGAGAAAAACAGTTGAGCAAGCAAGCAATGAAATGCCAACATAATCATTGAGCTTATTATCGTAAAGCCCACTAAGTTCTATGTGAACCTTTATCAAAAAGACTGTTGATTGTGAATACACACTATTGATTTTAAGTTGGAACTGTATTTGTTGTGAAAGAATTTTAAACCATTTTTTACAAAGGAAAGCAGTGGACAAGGCAGATCTTGACCAAAAGACATTTTAAAAGAGATGTTACAATCTATAGCAGGTGCAACCCTAGCATCCTCATCAGTAATGACTTTGAACTGAAGGGAGGACAAAGGCAAAAACATATATTCTTGAACCACAAAAAAGGCAAGCGTAATGGCTAGTGTGTGGTTCATGCCAAACAAATAGTGCATATAAAAAATTACAACATTCAAACAAAGAAACAAGTTACTAAGTCATTCCAAAATAAAAAGTCCCAGGATTTTAGAACATCCTTATGCTATCACACAATACAAGGATAGAGAGGAAACTTTGCAGAAAAAAACAGAATAGTCACGCACAGAGGACTTAAACACCAGCAGGACATTCTCAAGATATTGTGTAGTCCATGGTTTCAGGAATTTCCTTTACTTACTATACCTAGAAAATCATCTATGTTTACTTCTTTTTAAGGCTCCAAGGGGCTACACAAGAGGGGGGGTTGCCCATCCCCCAAATCCATAAGCCCCCAACCCTGGTGCAGGCGGGATTTGATCCCACGTCTCTGTTACAACCAGCTGGAGACCTTACCAACTAGCCAGTGGCACCTTGCTAGAGATTTACTTGTACACAAGATTAAGCCATATTCTGGACTGTTTTAAAAGGTTACAATAGTCTCAGTGATGAACCTCCACCTTCACCCAGTTGGCACCTTGCTAGAGATTTACTATAGTCATCTGGGAGTGAGGCCAAGGCAAGTATTGCATGGTAAAGATACAGGAGATTGAAACTCTAGGATAATCTGAGTTAAAGTCACTTGCATGAATTACCTCAACCTCTCAAGAGAAGAACTTCCAACAACTTCTTCAGAAGCAAAAAATATGAACAAAAAACAGCCATCTTCAGCATTTGACAATAGAAGGAAAAGGAAAAGAAGGAAAAATCAAAAGAAAAGAAAGACCAGCAATAGCACATCTATGTCAAACTGAAAAGGCTACAGGAGAATGTATATTGATAAGCAATAAAAAAGGGTGGCCCAGTGCACGAGCTCCTGCCAATGTGGAGTCTGGGGAGGGACAGATGTACGTAGCCTTACCCCTGCACATACAGAGAGGCTGTTTCCAAATTGATAAGCAATAAGAATGTATGTGTTTGGTTCCGTTTATGTTTATTGAATAAACATTTGTACTTTATTTGCTGGTAAAACCGAGAAATGCAATAATTGCAGCTGTTTATGACAACTAGGTGCCATTAGGCGCCACTTCAGCATAACAGTGAATAAACGCCTGGCCGTTTGTAGAAGCTTCAAAAAATAACTTCTACAAACGGCTAGTTTGCACATAAACCAAAGTTCACTTTTTACATTTTCGATGTATGCAAAAGAGCAAGAGAGAGAAATTGCTGAGATGGTGCCTATGTGGCACCATCAATAAACATGTACTGAATAAACGTAAGCGGAACCAAACATCCTCGATGTTTAAATTATTTTTCCACATACTTGCATCCTTATAAATCCATAGCCAAAATTTCCTACTAACAATAATGTCAAACTGAAAAAAATGATATTAATCATGCATATATCAACCAGGAGACAATCAAAAACATTAAACAAATGTACTCATAACAGGATATGATTCCAAAACAATATGTAGAATAACAATGAAAGCAAAAAAGAGAACTTCTGGGATTTTATATACGTATCACTATAGGACAAACTGACAGAACTAGGGGCAATTCCTGCAAGATAAATAGAAAATGATTTACTCACTTCTAAAGAGATGGTTCTCAAGACTTCCCCTGGTCATAAATTCATAAACAAGAAGCCGTTGATCATCTTCAATGCAGTAGCCAATAAGTTTTACAAGGTTAGGATGGTGGAGTTGTCCAAGGAAATCAACCTCAGCCTGCATTCAGGAAATTATTTTTATTCACTATAATAACATCTTATTAGATTTAGCTTTCTAATATCAATCTACTAACCCAGAGCAAACAATCTACTAACCACCCATTCTCTGTGGCCCTGAAGACCATCAGGCTTCAGACTTTTGACTGCAACTGTGATGCCCGAGCCAGGCTTAGCAGGCGCTGTCCCATTCTCTTCTATCCAACCTTTGAATACATATCCAAACCCACCTTCCCCAAGAATACTATCAGGTCTGAAGTTTCCAGTTGCAGCCTTAAGCTCCTGAAAAGTAAACTGAAGCAACTGGCGAGAATCTTTCTTTTCTGATGGTGGTGGACCAGGATTTTCACTTGAGAGCTGAACTTCATGGGGAACAGAGAGTTCCCGGTTGCTGGCATTCAGGTATCGGGTCTCTGTGGCTGCATTTATGGAATCTAAATTAGAGGCATTTTACCTGGATTCCTACTCTTTCCCAATTGTATGGCAAAAGTTCTTTTAGTTTGCAGAAACAAAAGAACCCAAAGTTTGCAGAATTCAAGAGAACTAAGTCAATTTGGTTTAAAGAGAATGAGAAGGAAAACAGAAAAACTCATTCTAGAGTTGATACTTAACAGTTGTATGAGCAGTGGCAGAATGTGATTATCATCCCTGGATTACTATTTCCTTTGAAACAGGATTTCAATGAAAGTAAATTGTTGGTTTGGTTCCAAGCCTTGGAAGAAACATGAACTAAACAGTTGCAGCATTCAGACGAAACCCAGGTGACATTTCAACTGGCATAAAATTTAGTATATAGAAAGAACAAAAGGAGAAAATGCATTCACAGGATTCTAGGAATCAAACAACTCATTTTGATGGGCAGGAAACTAATGAGATTTTTTTTATTATTATTTTTTGTTCAATGTAACTATTTCAAGACAGCGTACAATGAGAACCTATTGTGTTAAAACCCGCAAGAGACATAACAGCTCAATATTTGAAGCTCGCACGGGAACATAGGAGAATACTTCCAAAAAGACACCGACATGTCAGTCGAGAAAGAAATCTATTGCAAGAAATGTAGAACATAGGACATTGGTGATAAAAGGCGATGGATCTGGACAAAGTCACAAAGATGCGTACATCAGCCTCAAAAAGAGTTAACCTTTCTGAGGGAGAAGCAAGGATTCATGCTTGTCTAGCTGAACTGGTACAAACAAACCACCCTTACCACCATCTCGAGGAAAAACAAATTACAAAACCCCAACATCCTCTTCTTCAACTAGTGAATTGGTTTTAAGCCTAGCTCATGAAGACAAGATTTTGCAGGCTGGTCTAGCCATCACCATCAAATCCATGTCGTTCCCTGTGAATGCATTGATGGGATGGTGGAGGGAGGCAGTCGACGTTCCATTCTCTCTCAAGCAAGTGAATAATCAATTTGGTATTGAAAAGAAATGAGAAAAGGCTAGACAGCGAGGGTTATGGTGGCTTAAAAACTACAAATTAGAGAAGAAGCGGTTTCAACTTAAACTTCAAGCTCCCATAAAACAAGAAGAAAATAACATCCCAACAAACAGGACTTCCCTTTTTTTCTCTTTTGGGAGTTGTGCACAGATTCTGGATAACAGGGGGGGAGCGCAGATAAGAAACCCATTTCTAGATACACTTCAAGCATTTCGATTAAGCTGGATCAGTCAAAGGTAAACACAAATCTCAGGTTCAGCTGAGATCCATATTGGAATTTCAGGTGAAAACCTCTTATAGAGCGTCAAAACCGCAGATACTTCAATGAGAGATGAGACTAGTTCTGGAGAAGCATTAGCGGTCTCTGGAAGAAAAGGTCTTGAGGGCTCCTTAAAGCCTCTCTTGAACTCTCAGTAAGAGTTCAGATTAATCAAACAAATAAAGGAATTCAGAATTTGCAGAAACCCAGATCAGAATTTCAAGTAAAAAGGTTCATATGAGGATCAAACCCCACCATACCTGCGTCATAAACAAGACTGGTCCGAGGGAGAGCGTTAGCTGAGTCTCTGGAAGCTGATGACTTGCAGACTCCCTTAACACCTCGCTTGAATGCTGCCCAACACCCGCAATTCTTCTCCATGTATATCCACTTGCTGTTTCTTCATGGGCCGTCACTGCAACTACTCCAAAGGAGAGAAATATGAGAACAACAAGAAGAAGAAGAACAATAACAAGAGATCGTCCATGGTTTGTGAAGCAGGACAAAGAAAAAGCAGTGACGAGAAGAGAGAGAACCGTGAGTGGAGGAATGGATTTGTCGTTGTTCTTGTTGGAGATTGCAGGCATCATCATCATCATCACCATCATCGCAGTATGTACAAAAAGAACTTTTCCCACCATCTTTTCTAGGGGGAATGGGTGGCCTCGTCTCCTTCAACTTTCTTTTTTTCTCTCTCCTCTCTCAATTTTTGCCTTCTCTAGTGAAGGTGTGTGCCTTCACTTTTCTTTTTACTGTCACCTTTTCTTTCCCTGAAATTGTTAATAATATTGTAATATGTAATGATTTTTAATTTACTATAATTAACACAATCGTTCCTTGTTTAGAAAAATTGTTCAGTATAACTATACAATTGCAGTATCACAAAATGCATGTCTCATCACATCTTTACCCAGAATCAATAGCTCATGTGTGCGGGTCCCAAATCCCAATATGATTAACTGAATGGTTAGGATTTAAAGAATTTCTTACCTGCTCAACCTTTTGGCTTTGATCATAATTAAATTAAGATAGTAATTGAGATGGTTACAGATAGTAACTGAATCCAATTGCGTCTAGACTCCAGACAGTCTGAGGCTTGGGTGGTTTTTGACTGGTGCAATTCTGACTAGATTGTGGCTGAAGGAATTCTTCATGGGAGATACTTTCAATTAAAAGCATTAATTCTAGTCTTTCTCTTTGGCCTCTGGGGTTGTATTAGTAGGTATGTTTCTAATCATGGGCTTTAATTTACCTATTTTAGGGGTCAAATACTTACCACTGAATAGTCCCCAACATTTTGTGATTTGTTGGTTTTAGTTCTAAAAAGTGTTCTTAATCCTTTTCTTTAATGAAAAGTATTCCTGATTAAGGGTTACATGCTTCAGTTATTTGCCTAAGTTTTTTATATTTTGGTTAGAAGGAACAACTGACTTTGGGCCTTGGAAGGTGGGATATAATACATTTTCTTTTTGCTAGCATTCATTATCTTGGTCAAAACTAATGAAAAGATAGTCAAGAGCATATATGAGTGCAATCCCATCAACTCTCTCTCTCTCTAGACACATATAGAGCGTGGAAGACTTTATATTCCTATGTAGATCTATTATGGGATAGTTGTAGATGGGTTCCTCTTCAAGGGTTGAGGAAAGAGGAGAGGCTGAGTGGGGTGGGGGACTGCCTGGTGAGAGGTCATTTCATCAACCAACCATAAAACAAATGGGTTCTATGATGCTTTGAAGGAAGAAAAGTAATGTAAGATCCTATATTTTTAAGCAGTGTTGCAAAGCCATGTCGGAAAGTGGTGATACCCATTGCCCCCACTTGTTATGTGGGTCCCTCCACCCCTCCCCATCCCTGGCCCCTCATCACATTCTACTGGAATTCATTGCCTCAGCTACAGGATCCCAATCTGATGTGACGAAGAATTTAAATATATATGTTTAACTATCCACAATATATATGTACACATATGACAGAGAGAGGAGAGAGAGGGTAGGGAACTGTACTAGTGTGCCCACTCACAGTCATCATATGGACTTATGGAGCAAACTGAGATACCCACATGTCAGGTGGAAAAAGTAAACCAGCCATATATTTGGAGTACAAAGAGAATGGTTAACCCGAGACCGGATCTGCTCCTCACACCATTCACACGCACATCCTATCATGAATTGGAAACCTCTCCCGTACTTATTAATTATAATTTAGGGGAAATGTTTTCAATACACGGTGGATGTGTATGTGAAGCGCCCATTTATGAGGAGCAGATCCCATCACCTATAATCCATAGTGATTCTACAGTGGAAGAGAACAATAACATGACAGGTGGCACACATTCCCAAGCAATCCAGTCATCCGGTGGGCTCCACACAGTAGATCTCCTTATTACAAACGTCAGTCCTCTTGGGTGATCATGGCCATCTGATTGATGACTTTTTCTGATCAGTCCAAGTAATGTGATGGCTTGGACTGTTGTATATATGTTAACGCCATATAGGTTGCTTGATTCTGAAGCTAAAATGCCCACAGGATGTTTAACTCGCAGAGGACTTGCTTGCATGCCAGAGTCTCTTTGATTAATAAACGCCAAAAAAATAAAAAAATAAAAAATTTGAGCCACTTGCTGAATAAGGTTCCATGTTGGGTGTCATCATCATGGTTCGAACTGTTTATCTCATGAGATCCTATCGTTGATTGATTTTACGATTTCTTTTCTCTTCTCTGAGGCCCACTTTGATTCTAAAAAGATTGTCTCCTGGCCATTTGCTCTCCTCTAAGAATGCACTTGGCCTATGGGGAGAGACCTCAGACCTCCGTATCCTATGCTTAGTTTCTTTCGGTCTTCCTCCTCCACTCTTGCTTATGAGGAAATTAATTGTGGTGCAAATGGGTTTGGTTCAACCCGGATCGATCAGATGGGCTTGAGTTTGTAGTTTGGATCAGTGTTACAAGTTATAGCCCTTAGATTCGACAAGATGGTCGGAGCATGAAAATTGGGAACTGATGGCCTTTTTGGGTTGGCAGCTTTCACTAATTGAACAGACTAACCATCCGGGTAATTGGAAAAACTCTGACCCATGGAGCATTCTGATTTTTAGGGTATGTTTGGTTTGTAGAAATAGAGGTCTGAAATTGATTCTGATTCTAATTGTTTGGTTGGACGGAATTGAAATCCTATTTTCATTTGAGGGAATGATTATTCTCTCTCTCTTCCTTAGAAATGAAATCCCATTCCAACTGATTCTAATTTTCATTCCTACTCCTGTCTGAACCAAGCACTTAGGGTTAATGTTGAATTTGATTTGCAGGAAGCTGCTGAGTATGTTTTTGAATCCTGTACTCTCCTTCACTCCTGGTACAGGAAACCGCGTAGCTCATTGCCTACCGAAGTTTGGTTGTTCTCTTTCAAGTACTTGATCTGTTTCTCCAGACACTTTTACTCCTGTAGTGAAGATTTGATGCCATGAATTTGTCTTCGGGCTTTCAAAAGAAGAATATTGAGTCTGGATCTCATTCTTGAAGCTCTAAAACAAAGAAAGAAAACTAAGATTACCAAAGCATGTTGTTGATATTGCCGCGTGGAAATCCTATCCTACATATTGATGCAATTTGCACAAACTATAAAGCTGTGTAGGACAGGATTTCAAGTAGCAATATATGCCAAGAACACGCGTACATGCTTTAGCTGTTCAGACGCCTAAGGATGCATGGTTAGCATGTTTGGGAGGGAAAATGTGAAATAATGAGCAGAAAGACGAATGCACTAAGGGAGTTTGAACTTGGAATAGTATAGGAAAAGGAGACTGATGGGAAAAAGAAAAGAAGAACACAACCAGTTCTCATGCCTGTTTACCTACAAATGCCACGGTGGTAAGTTATTAGGGTTTTTCTTTACACAAACACAATTACTATACATGTCATGCAATAGTAAAATATATGAATGGCAATGGGGCGGGTTCGGGATGAAGATCATATTCCCCGTCCCCAACCCCATCCTCGATCCTTGTTGGGGATAAAAGTTATCCTCCACCCCTGATCCCCAATGGAGATGGGTTCCTTGCGGAGACTGGAATCCCCAAAATTTGTTAATTAATAATATTTAAGAAATAATAATTTTACTTGAAATAAAAGAAAATTTTAAAATATAAATAATATTTTAAATATATTTTGATATATATATATATATAATATAATATAAATAATATTTAATATATAATTAGAGTCGGGACAGGGTGGAGATTTCATTCCCCATCCCTAGCCCATTGGGTCAGGGAGGTCGAGTACCCGGTGGGGATGGGGAAATTTTCCATCTTTGGTAAAATCTTATGTTGGCAAGTGTGAAAACGTGGGTTCAAGTATGAGGGTGGCTATGCACCAAAGGTTAAATCATACCCAATCTAACCCCCTCTCAAGAGTCAAGACCCCAAATAGCTAGGACACTAAAATTAATGGATGCCCTTTTATCACATCCAACAACTTAAGCGTATATTTGGCATCGTTGCTGTTGCTCCAGAAAATGGTGACACATCAGTGCCTTGTCAGAAAAAACAGTGCTCCAGAAAACGCATATTTGTTTGGAATCATTTTTTCATAAAAAACGGTGCTCCAAGCCAAGCCTTGAAAATAAAAAAGGTGTGATTTGGAGCTACGCCAAATTTGGCATTTCCTGGAACTGCAGCTCATTGCTACGAATAGGGATATAACATGGCACTGGATAATAGACAGTTGAAAACGTTTCTTAAAACATTGGTACCAAACAGAAAACGTTGTTGTTGCTCCAGGAAACATCCTACCTAGCAATAATGTTTCCAAAAGAAAAAAGACACCAACCCACACATCAGCAACACTGTTTTCTGGAAAAAGGGTGTTGTATTTGCAGCATCGTTGCCAAACATATACTAAATTTGTGAATCCAAATTTCCTCCTCACAAAATGAAACGGTGCTTCCAACCCATACATCAATAGCACCGTTTTCTAAGAAAACGATACTATATCTGCAGCATCAATGCCAAATATATACTAAATTTGTGAATCCAAATTCTCTCCTCACAAAATGATCCTTACACTCTAGCCATGCATTGAGAACATATCTCACCTTGAAGGGGCATCAAACGGAAAACATCTCCCGTATTCTGAGCAAATGCAGGAGATGTTCTCATTCTACGGCTACAACGTGCTGCGAGTTGGGTGTAAATAAAAAATCCGAACTCCAAATTTGCCTGGAGAAAAAAAAAAAGTGACACGACTGCAGCATCATCACTTAGGTCTACCCTTTCATGATGAGGAGTGGTATAATATGGATACCATCATCATAAAACATTTATGTGATGCTTCCATCTGTTACCACATATCCAATTTACAGAGAACACTGGGACCCACCTAAGAATTGTCCCAAAAATCAACATGATCATTTGGTTGCAACTACAGTTCTAATGTACTCACTTGGAGAATAATTACATGTATTCATTTAGATGGCTCCAAAAACAGTTCATAAAGCAGATGTTGATAAAAAATATCCAAAGTTACAATAAGGCTAAGTGTGAGCAAATATCTTAGTAAGGTCTTATTAAATTGGTTCTTCTCAGATCTCCATAGAAACCCGGAACATGGCAATTCCCTCTTCTTGGAACACACTATTCTTTTGTCTTTTAAGAGCTGGATTCCTCAACTTTTTGTTTATTCATATAGGGTGTGGATTTCTCTCTCCCCTATCCACATTTCATCATTATAA